AGCGAGAAATCACCCCCCAGGGGGGATGGTCACGCCGCAATCCCTTCTCCTCCATTCTCCTCTCGGGATCTTGGGCACGCATGCACACGCGCCTGGCGTGAGTTTTAAGCCACCGGGTCCGGGACACGAACCGCGGTCGACTACGTGGGAGTCCAGCGACATAGTCATTACGCTAACTGCTGGTTCCCCTCACTTTCTATTTTTTGAGATAGAGATTTTTGATTTAGGGCACACATGCCTGCCAGTGAGACAGTGAGACAGAAATCTCATGCACACACATGCATCCGGCATGAGTTTTATTTTTAGAATTTGTTTATTTTTATTTATTTATTTTACATGAGTTTTGCCAGAGAAAGACAGAGAGGGGGGAGAAAGTGAGAAAGCAAGCCACCAAGTCTGGGACTCGAACCGTGATCAGCCATGTGGGAATTCCAGCGCCCTAACCACCATGCCACCTGCTGCCCCCCCACCCCATGACTTTTAAGCCGCTGGGTCTGGGACTCGAGCCACGGTCGACTACGTGGGAGTCCAGCAACTTAACCATTATGCCATCTGCTGGTCCCAGTTTCTCACTGTCTGTCTCTCTGTTTCTCTCTGTCTCTCCAGCAAGCACACACTCCCTATAGCAAAAACCTCTATTAATAAAAAAGAAAATCATGGTGGGCACATGTATGTGCATGTCCAAAGTCCCAAGAGGAAGATAGAGGAGAAGGGACTGTGGTGTGGCCATCCCCCCAGAGGGTGATTTCTCACTCGCCCCACTCCCATCTCTGGTGAGCATGCGTGGAAAAAAAACGTACAGGAGGAGGCGCTCGTGTCCTGTGGCTTTCCTCGGCCTGAGCGCCACATGCCTGTGTGCATAAGCTCTGATCCATATGCAGACTTGCATGATAGCCCGTGTCACTCTTGCACATGTGTCAGTCTGTGGTGACCATGGCGAGGGGGCAGAAGGTGACCTCCTATCTCATGGCTGTCTACAGCTACAAAGCCTCAGCTTCCCAGGGCTCAGGCCATGGTGCGTGTGTGCAGGGGCTTGGCCTGGAGAGACCCGGGCTCATGACCGTGCCTCCCTTCCTCCTGCAGGGAACACCGTTGCCACGAAGAAGCCGTCTCCAAACAGCTTTGGGCATCAGCACAGGGGCGTTTCCTTTGAAGGTACCATGGCCCCCACCATGTTGCTGGGACTCTGGTTTGAGGGCAGAGTAGCCTGGGTAGCACTTGCTTGCTGGCCTGAGGTCAAGTCACAGAGGAAGGACTCGAGCTCGAGCCCTGACCTAGTTCTCTGAATTCATGGAGCCTTCGTTGTTGTATTGGCCCGGGATATTAGGGAACTCATTTGCAAGGACTTGGAAGCCAAAGAAGCTTCATAGAATCATAAAGGAAGAGGGGAGGTTTTATAAAGTCTAGGAAGAGGCCCCTTTTCCTTTGTAAATGCATGAATGTTTCACTTCTCTTCGGTGCCTTAAAGGGTGAGTCCAGGCCATGCAGCCAGCAGAGTCAGAGGCCCGTGCACATGGGCCTGGGGCTCCCTATCTCCTGGCTGGGGCTCATCTCTGTCAGTGCCCCCGGCCCTGCCTTGTTGCAGGTGCTGTGGGGCTTGAGTATGCATTAGAGCAGCCAGGGACCTCGGCTGATCGCCAGCGTCAGGCTTGCTTCCTGAGTGGAGTGCCGCAGTCGGACCTGTTTTCTCCCCTCCCCCGATCCCGGTGGTGAGACCTGGAAGACCCCCTGGCAGGGCTCCTCTTGGATGAGGAAGGTGCTGCCCAGAAGCCGACTGTGACGGAGAGTAAGACAGCGTCTGGCAGGAGCCCCAGCAGAGGTCAGGGTAGGTGGCGTGGGCCTGTCTCCAGGCAGTCTGCCGGCAGCAGGCCCACTGAGCTTTCTGTGTGGCACCAGGGCCCTCCCCAGAGCTCTGTAAGGAACAGGGAGGTGGGGTGCAGGAGTCTGGGAGCAGGGGGAGCGATCTGTCCTGTGGGCACATCAGGCAGCGATGCCTGCTGCCTCCCAGAAGTCAGAGTTGCAGACACCCTCCCCCGGCCCTTCAGATGCCACAGCCAAGGGCAGGGAGGCTACAGGCACGGGCCCTGTGTTCTGTCTTTCAGCTCCTTCTATTCCACTCACTCCTGGGGACACCCCTGTCCGAAAGAAAGAAGAGTTGCTGTTTGACGATGGAGAGGACATCATGGCCAGCCTGGGGTTTGGAGACAGTCCCAAAGCAGAGAGGAAGCAGACGCCAGGGCCGTAAGGACCCCACTGAGTGGAGGCCCTTGGCTGGGTGCTGTCACTGGGCTGGGGGAGCCAGAGGGCGCTCAGCCGACCTGGGAGCCCACAGTGTTCTCATAGCCTGCCCTGCGTCCCTCCTGCAGGGAAGTGCCCCGCCCTGCCCGCTCCAAGCTGGATGAGCTGCTGGGTCGAGGCACCGCCACCCAACTCCTGGCTCGCCCGGGCACTGGGGAACACAGAGAGTTCAAGCTTGCCGCCAAGTACCAGAGGCCACAGGGTGAGGAGGCTCGTCAGGGCCAGGGCCGGGGGACCCCGGAATGTGCTTCACACCGGGACACACCCCGGACACTGTACACAGAACTGACACAAAGGGCGTGAAATAACAGCCAAACCGCGGTCAGTGCTTTTTTTTTTTTCAGCTATAGGGCGCATGCTCTTGCCAGAGAGAGAGAGAGCGAGAGAGCGAGAAATCACCCCCACCGCATGGGCCACACCGCAGTCCCTTCTCCATTCTCCTCTTGGGATTTAGGGCATGCGTGTGCCCAGCGTGAGTTTTAAGCAGCCGAGTCCAAGACTCAAACCACAGTCAACTATGTGGGAGTCCAGCAACGTAACTGTTATGCCATCTGCTGGTCACTATTTTGTTTTTTTCTTAACTTGCCAGAGGGCACGTGCACTCGCCAGAGAGAGTGGGACAGCAGCTTCATGGTCACACCACAATCCCTTTTCCTCCATCTCTCCCTACCTTTGAGGTTTTGGGCACACACATGTGTCTGACATGTTTCTCAAACCACCAGGTCCAGGACTCGAACTGCAGGGTTGGCTGCGTGGGGTCCAGCCCCCTAACCACCAGGTCTCGGCTGGCCCATTGTTTTTGCCTAGACGCTGTTTGATGAACACACACTGGTGTGGCTCGTTATGTTGGTGTCCTGGCCCTCTAATGAACAGCAGCTCATTTGTCACAGCAGCGGCCCGCAAGCCCTCTGTCGAGGGTCGTTCTTGCAACATGTGCAGCACCCTGGGGCTGACCTCATGGGATCCCAGGGCATGCCCGACTGCATTTTCTCAGCCCCCAGGACGGGGCTGCATGTGCCCATTCACTTCCTCCCGGGCAGCTGCACCTCTGCTTGTCCCACATGTCACACCACCGGTTCAGCTTTACGTAAACGGGGTTCTGCAACCACAAGAGTTGGCTTCTCTGCTCCAGATCACGGTCACAGGCCCCTTAATCCAGACAAAGAAGATACCTGGGGCGACAAGGACTTCACCTTTGGGGCCTACCAGCCTACCATGGGCTCCTCCGAGGGCCGGCAGTCCCGCCGGCAGTCGGTCAGGTAGGTGGCCTGGCTGCAGGCATGGCGTGGCCTGAGACAGGATGTCGGCTGGGAAAAGCCCCCATAGCCTGCCTGCAGCCCCCTCAGCCAATCTCTCCTGTCTAGACAAGTCTGTATACACAGGGACATGTCTACCCACCCCCTCAGTGACCGCTGGGCAGTGGCAACTGAGCCAGATCTGGGGACCCTGGAAACTACTCAGTCCAACTGACTTTTCCTTTGCACATGCCTGCCTGTGGTCATTCTCCGTGACACGATTATCCCTGGTCTACGTGTTGGGGGACAGGGTGTCTGCTGTGCAGTGTTTTAACAGACAGCACAGGCTTGCTGCCGCCCACTGCCTGAGCTGGCCCAGAAGTCACTGTCCCCCAGCCTCAGGCCGGCTGTGCAGAGAGCTCTGTGTACCACAGACTCCTTGTGGTGGCCCTAACAGCCCCAAGCAGTGAGGGAAAGGCTGGTAAGGGGGCTGCTGGGACCAGCAACCTGACAGCCTCTCCTCTGTCTTGAGGTAGGTTCTTAGCAGAAGGTGGCCCAGAACACAAGGGAGAACCGGGCTCCAAACAGAGCCCTCCAGTGACTTCCAGCCCCAGCCAGCCGAGGAAGGGAGGCGCTGACTGGTTGGGCCTCAAGGATGATGACCTGGACCTGCTCCCGCCCTCTCCCACCAGAGAGGCCCGGCGGGGAGGCTCAGTGCTCGCCACACCCTCCTGACCCCCGCCTGCCAGCCAGCACCCTGTCCCAGGCCGGCACTCTGCCCCAGCTGGGCTGTCCACCTCGGGGGCAAAGCCACCAGCTGAGGGTGCCGGGTCCCCTGCCAAAGCCAGCCAGGCCTCCAAGCTGGGAGCACCTGAAGAGAAAGACGGGGAGGACTGGCTGAGCCATGCCTTGTCTCGGAAGAAGTCACAAAGTCTGGCCAGAGAGGAACGTGCTGGGGCCTCGAAGGGCTGGAACTCCAGGGGGACAGGAGACCATCCCCCTCCTGGCAGGTATGGACTAGGGCTGCTCTACCAGCTGGAGGGCGGCTCTGGGCAGGGCCCTCCAGGGCCAGCTTAGTCCAACTCACCTGTCAAAGCCACCGTGGGGACTGCCGCAGTACACGGTGGGGCACTTCTCCCTCCTGGGCACTGCAGAGAGCTGATGGTTCCCTGGCTCTGCCCAGGGGCTGTTGGCACTCACGCCCTGATTGCTGGGGACAGGTCTGACTTGGTCAGGTAGGGGAAGACTGGACGGCGCTTCTGCTGACGCATGCCCGTGTAAACCGGGTGGGAGCTGGGTACGTCAGAGAAGCCAGGAGGCAGCTCCTCACACCACCAAGTCCAGGACTCACGTCACAGGGTCAGCTGGGTGGGATCCAGCCACCTTCAACTGGAGAGGCCACAGAGTGGCCAGTGAGTAACCTCTGAGGGCCAAGGGCCGGCAAGGCCAGGAGGGTCCAGAGGAAGTGCCCGGAGCCTTGGGAGGTGTTGGGTGCTTCTGTGAAAACACGCCAGAACAGAAGAGCCCATGTTCTCTCCAGCCCTGAGAACCTAGAGGGAGGTAGCATGACAGATGGCAGGCCTGGGACGAGATTGAGCAGAGCCTCAGTCTAAGCTGAGCCAAGCTGGGTGCCCCCAAACAAGGCTCTGAACCCCAGCCTACTCTGCTGAGGATGGCATGTCCGCACTGCTCCCAGGACTGCCCCGTGGACTCAGGCTGGGAGGAGTGTGGGAGGGGAAGGGAAGCCCACAGACCAACGGGCTCAGACCTGGGAGGAGAACGCCCCGTGGCAGGATAGCGGGGTAGGAGGAGGGCAGAGGGCGAGCAGGAAGAAGAGCCGCCAGGGGCGTCACACTTCTGGGTCTCCTGTCCCCGTCACCTTTAACCCTGACCTCCTCAGCCATCCTGCTGCCGGCACTCAAGAGCCTGAGCAGGCAGCTTCCGGAGGGGCCTCGGGACCGCCAGTACAAGGAACCCCATCTGCCAGGCCTGGTGGTGCAGGGTATGTCCACAGCTGGGGGACACGGGGAGGGGGGCACAGACTGCCTTCCTCAGAGAGAGATGGGCAGCAACTGCCAGGAGACAGACGTGGTTTGCGAGCGTGGAATTCGATCCCACACCAGGCCCGTTCGGTAATGCCTCCTGAAACTGGGTCTCCCCCTGCCAGCCGCCAGCACAGCCGCGGCTTCGCTCCGCACACCGCCAGTCACCAGGCCTCTGATTTGGGATTTGAACCTGAGTGTCCCTCTACTCCAGGCACCAGCTCTCCCCATCCACCTGTGTCCTCCACGCTGAGCTGTTCACCTTGCCCCCGTTGCATGTCCTCAGGTCCCCTGTGACTAGGAACCAAGCTGACTTGACCCTCCCTGCTGGTGACCCAAGGACGGGGGCTGCCCCTGGAGAACTCTCTGGTGTGTTTTCTGCTTTGTTTGGGGGCTTAACTCTGGGCAAGGAAGAAGTGCTTCAAGTTCCTTATGGGGCCCTGGAACGTGAGGGATGCCGGCCTCTCCTGGTCCACGCAGGCCCAGGGCTCTGGGCCTCTGCTCATTCTTTGCTATTGATTTTTCAGAGCCTGCTGACTGTTTCCTGAGCTCCCGGGAGCCCACAGGGCTTTCTACCCCCATCCAGGTAGGAGGCTGGGGCCTGGAGAGCAGTATTTCCAGCTCAGAGGCAACACCTGCTGTTTGACCTGAGGCCGGCCAGGGAGAAGGAGCCCTGCCTGTCAGAGTGGCAGGGGG